CACTCACCTCCTACTTACTGAGCACCTGCTGTGTTCCGGGCACCAGGCTAGGCCCTGAGGTTACAGGGGTATGTTGGTTTCCAACGGCTGCTGAAACAAAGTACCACACACAGGGTGGTTTAAAACAACAGAGATTTATTCTCTCATAGTTCTGCAGCCAAAAGTCATGCTCAAAATCAAAGTGTCAGCAGGGCCACACTCCCTCTGAAACCTGTGAGGGAGAATCATTCCTTGCCTCATGTAGCTTTCGTTGTTTGCTGGCAATCCTCGACATTCCTTTGCTTATAGATGCATCACTGCAATCTCTGTCTGTCATTACATGGCATTCTTCCCTCACCTCTTATGAGGACCACAGTCATGTTGGATTAAGGGCCCACCCTACTCTAGTATGACCTCATCTCAAGTGATTGCATCTGCAATGACCCTGCTTCCTAATAAGTTCACATTCTGAAGGACTGGGGGTTAGGATTCAGATGGGGGATTCATATCAACCCATAACAAGTGGTAAACCAGAATAGCCATACCGCCATGCTCTCATCAAGGTAATAGATTACAGGTACACAATACCTGAGCACAATAAAGGAAACAACAGAATGAAAAAGCAAATCATCTATCTGATAAGGAGTTAATCTCTAAAATATATAAAGAATTCCTACAACTCAATAGCAAAAAAACAACAACAACACAACAATTAATCCAATATTAAAAGGGGCTAAAGACTTGAATAGACATTTCTTCGAACAAGACAAACAAATGGCCAGCAGATATAGGAATATTGCTCAATGCCACTACTCATCAGGGAAATACAAATCAAAACCACAATGAGATATCAACTCAAACTTGTCAAGATGGCTATTATTTTTTAAGATTCCATTAAATATCACAAGTGTGATATTTGTGAGCCCGAAGCTACAGAGCATCAGCTCTGACCTGCCAGCTCTCAGAACCTTCCTTGAAAGCAGGTTTTGACAAAAGGGACAGGAGTGTGGAGAAGGGCAGAGAGGAAAGAAAGCCTTAGAGAAAGAGAACTCTGAGGGAACCAGAGTCTCCCTAAGGCCCAACCTGAAGCCTAAACACTGAAAGAAACCACAGTGATTGTGTTTACCATCCTTTTTATATAGGGCCATGGTCCTTTAGCCAAAATCATTGTGGCTCATGTGTGTGGAATTCGGAACTTTTTGTATTTTTAGAAATATGTTAGGATTACTAAGACACAAAATGTGTAACACCCCTAGAAAGTTCTGGGGGGGGTCAGGAGGGGGGAGCATAATCCACCAGGCTAATACTGTTGTAGTAAAATAAGTTAATATTTACACCAATCAGGATGTGATCTATAAAAGCATTACGTCAATTCAGGTCCAGTGTTGTCACCAATAGTTTGTACCACACTGAAGACACCACTCTATGATGTTCAGAGCTTTGGGGTCTTTGAAATTGGTGGTGGCAGTTCTTTAGTGGACACAGTTGAGATGGTTGACCAGCTGAGTGACTAACTGAAGGTACCCACACAGTTGACTGGGGCTCCACTCACCTCCTACTTACTGAGCACCTGCTGTGTTCCGGGCACCAGGCTAGGCCCTGAGGTTACAGGGGTATGTTGGTTTCCAACGGCTGCTGAAACAAAGTACCACACACAGGGTGGTTTAAAACAACAGAGATTTATTCTCTCATAGTTCTGCAGCCAAAAGTCATGCTCAAAATCAAAGTGTCAGCAGGGCCACACTCCCTCTGAAACCTGTGAGGGAGAATCATTCCTTGCCTCATGTAGCTTTCGTTGTTTGCTGGCAATCCTCGACATTCCTTTGCTTATAGATGCATCACTGCAATCTCTGTCTGTCATTACATGGCATTCTTCCCTCACCTCTTATGAGGACCACAGTCATGTTGGATTAAGGGCCCACCCTACTCTAGTATGACCTCATCTCAAGTGATTGCATCTGCAATGACCCTGCTTCCTAATAAGTTCACATTCTGAAGGACTGGGGGTTAGGATTCAGATGGGGGATTCATATCAACCCATAACAAGTGGTAAACCAGAATAGCCATACCGCCATGCTCTCATCAAGGTAATAGATTACAGGTACACAATACCTGAGCACAATAAAGGAAACAACAGAATGAAAAAGCAAATCATCTATCTGATAAGGAGTTAATCTCTAAAATATATAAAGAATTCCTACAACTCAATAGCAAAAAAACAACAACAACACAACAATTAATCCAATATTAAAAGGGGCTAAAGACTTGAATAGACATTTCTTCGAACAAGACAAACAAATGGCCAGCAGATATAGGAATATTGCTCAATGCCACTACTCATCAGGGAAATACAAATCAAAACCACAATGAGATATCAACTCAAACTTGTCAAGATGGCTATTATTTTTTAAGATTCCATTAAATATCACAAGTGTGATATTTGTGAGGGTGTGGAGAAAATGGAATTCTTACACACCATTGTTGGGAATGCAAAATGGTGCAGCCACTATGAAAAACAGTACAATTTCTCAGGTGGTTCCTCAGAAAATTAAAAATAGAGCTCCCATATTATTCAGCAATCCCACTTCTGGATATTTATCCAAAAACATCAGGACCTTGAAGAGATATGAGCACTCCCATGTTCACTGCACACTCACTATTCACAATAGGAAAGATGTGGAAGCAACATAAATGCCCATAGACAGATGGATGGATAAAGGAAATTTGCTCTCTACATAGAATGGAATATTATTCAGCTTTAAACACAAAGTAAATTTGCAACATGGGGCATAAAAAAATCTTAAGGACATTATGCTAAGTGAAATAAGCCAGGCACAGAAGGATAAGTACTCCATAATTCCACTTATATGTGGTATCTAAAATAGTCAAATTGATAGACTCAAAGAGTGGAATGGTGGTTGCCATAGGCTTGGGGGAGCAGGAAATGGGGAGTTACCAAGCAATGGGCATAGAGTTCCAGTTTTACAAGATGAATAAGCTCTAGAGATCTGCTGTACAACATTGTAAGTATAGTTGGCAATGCTGTATTAAACCTTTTATGATTTCATTTTGCAAGTTACAAAGCATCACTCTGCCTCATTCTCTTCATTACAATTGAGTCACTGATTTCAGCCCTCACTCAAGACTCCATCTTTAGAAGGGAGGAGTGACAAAGAATGTGTGTATGTATTTTAAAACCAATAACCCCACAACATATTAAAGCGTGGGATTCACCCAAGCTAGGGACTCAAAAATAAGTTTATAGAAATTCATACAGAAGCTAAAAGAAATACATTCAACCCAGCTTCTACTCTTCTATGTATTTAAAATTTAGTGAATGTTGACAGGACAATTTCCAAGGTATTTTCTGGAGATAGCATGGTACAATAGAAAGCACAAAGGCTTTGGAGCCAGGCACACCCACGTTTAGGCAAGTCTGCCTCTTGGCCAACTGTAAAACGAGGAAAACCAGTAGAGCTTGTCTCATGTTGTTATGGAGGTAATTAATGACATGACATGCGTAAAGTGCCCACTATGATGGTAGATCCCTTCCATTGGCTAATTTATCAGGAAACGATGAACAATATACATTAATTATCTAGAAGGTGCTATGAGATACGAAACTGACTCAGACATAGACCTTGCTTTTAAGAAGCAAATACTCCCATAGCGCTCTTAACAGGCCGAATAACTATAATACAGTTGAGAAAATGATACGTGTCTGCCGCAGGTATAATCCTTTAAATGTGGATCAAATTTGGATAAATAGAAATGGAATAAATTTTGAGGGATAAGGAAAGGACCAATAGTATTCCAAATTAGGAGCAATAATTTGAGTAAACACAGAGCTAGAAAATACTAGGGGGTGGGGGGAGGGGGGCATGAATTGAGAATAAGAAAGTAATTTACTACAGATAGAGCTTAAACATAGAGTCAATGGAAGGAGGTCGTGGAAATAGGAATTGGAAAAGTAGTTACATATCAGAGTATCAAGAAGAGATTGAGTATACACTCAGTTTTACAGTCTGACAAAAAAAAATATTAAGGCTAAAGAATTTAAACCAATTTTTAGGGCTGGCTATGGAAGGTAGGGAGCCTAGCTACTGAAGGACATCCTTGCGATGCTTTTCTTGGCCAAGTCCTATTGCAGTATCTCACTGCCTCACATTGTAAACAGAGCTTTCTAAAACTGATCGTTAAAGAGCGCTTCTGACTCAGAGCCCAAGCAACTGAGCTTTATCCTTATCGTTCCCATTTTGGAGGCTGCAACAGCAGGGAAATGCAGTGGGAATATGTTTATAGGTCCTTGGCTCGTTATAAATGTACTTCTTGAGACGTGGCCATTTGGAATGGCCCATTTATGCACTCAACTCATCTGTGGTTATTTGACTTCCACCTCCAGATAATGAGGAGTTCTCTCCAGTTATTTTCCCTCAAGAAGACTGATTTACTTAGCAACCTTCACTTTTGTTACATTCCCCAGTCCCAGGCAGCGATGAGATTTATACATAGGACAGAGCCATTTCTATTCTGTGATGGACGTTTGAAGGAAGTTGGAGCCAACGACCTTTCACTTTGAAGCCAAAGAAAAACAAGCACAATTTTTTCAGTGTTGCTAAGAATGGGGGCTGGAGAGATGAACATAAAGGCTTCTTCCAGGCCCGCTCTTCAATACGTGGTGCCCAAAGCCTTTACGTCTTACCTAGCACACCCTCCTTATTTTGATGAAGTTCATGTTCCATCAAAATAAACGTGATTGAGATCATTTTTGATGATTTTGTGGGTGAAATTGAATGTTCCATTTTATCACCTCCTTTGCTTTAGTCGAAGTAAAAATAAAGGCTAGAGCATAAAGGGAAAGGGTGGATTTGAGGAGGGGGATAGAATTCCTAGCCAATCTTTGTGCTGGAACTTCCCACATTCCCAGGTAGCTGTTTTTACTCCAGTAACAACATTTCATATCATGGGCAATGTTCTCTGCACAGGTGCTCAAGGTGTTCTCTTCTCTGATTTCTTCCCAGGTGGGAAATCGGCAAGTGGAGTCCATGCAGCCTCACCTGTGGGGTTGGCCTGCAGACCAGAGACGTCTTCTGCTCCCAGATACGTTCCAGAGAGATGAATGAAACAGTAATCCTGGCTGATGACCTGTGTCGCCAGCACAAGCCCAACACCGTGCAAGCTTGTAACCGCTTCAACTGTCCCCCGGCCTGGTACCCTGCGCAATGGCAGCCGGTGAGTTCTGAGTATTGGAGTTTGTGTTTGCATCAGGGGTTCAGGACAGGGGTCACTCTCTTTGAGTAGTCTTGTTCCTTTAAAGGAATGTTCAAGGTCAGCTCATTTTTCCCTTGTGAGTACTCCCCCAATCTTATTCAACTCCAGATCTTTTAATTACATACCATGTTCTTTCTACCATGCTTCACCATGTAATCTCCAAAAGCAACTCAAATGAACCATCTAGTAACCTAAGCATATTCATGACAATGTTTTCACCAGGCTCATGAAAAAATTTAGAAATAAGGACAATGTGGTAGGTTTTCCATAAAGCGAAATTTGTCCTGAATCTGTACCCTTACTAGTTTTTGGCTAATTAAAATTCTAAGAGATAAAGGTACTAGGCAATGATGTTTTGGGGTTTTTTTTTAAAACATAATAACTTAGTAAAATAAAAAGTTAGAAAGCTTGAATCAACTCCAGACATTTTTTTTCCTGGTCCTATGAATTCCAAGTCTGGGAACTGTTGCTTTAAAGCAGGGCTTGGCAACTGCAGCCCGAAGTCAAATCCAGCTCACAGCCAGTTGTTGCCACTAAAGTTTTATTGGAACACAGCAACACCCATGCTTTTATATGTATTGTCTATGGCTGCTTTCACCCTGCAAGGACAGAACTGTGTGGTTTTGACAGAGACCATATGGCCCACCAAACCTAAAATATGCACTCTGTCCTCTTACAGAAAAACTTTACTGAACCCCCTCGAAAGCATACATTACAATAATACAAACAAAACTATTTTGTCACAGTATCTTATCTAAAATTACATTTATCAAGCTTTAAATCATATTTTTTCCTGCCTTTAAAACAGCACAGAAGGATTTTAATGATTTTAATAGAATCCTATTTTGCAATTCCCACCCCATGAGGACATTAGTCATAGCTCCAGCCCCAAGACCTTGAAGTGACATCAAAGGTCACAAAAAGTAAGCCTGAAAGGTCAGGGGGACATACATTCTGGTTTTACTGAAACAGTTTTTCACTCTCGAATCTGTCCCAATTAGAATGATAAAGTAGAGGGTTACAGCTGAAAAGGAGAGAGGGTAGCAGTGTCATACATACCCTTGCTGTTCCCACACGTCCTCTGTGCTATTCACAATCAGATGCCAGAGCCCCTGCCTTCTCCCAGCCCATCCTGGGGCTGTGACATAGCAAAGTGCTCAAAGGATCAAATAGTAATGAGTGAGCAAAACACTAAAACATAAAGCATCAGGAAACAGACATTGACTGTACATTTTCTTTTAGAGCTTAGAGGACTGTGGCTAAGTTCATAAATTCTATTTTTGTGTGATGGTTTGTGGAAGTCAAGAGGATGTTATACCTTTTCAGTGTCTATGTAACAGTGTTTGGTTAAGAAATATATAGTACTAGAGGCTTGGTGCATGAAATTCATGCACTTGGGGGGGGCCCCTCAGCCCGGCCTGCGCCCTCTCTCAGTCTGGGAGCCCTCGGGGGATGTATGACTGACAGCTTAGGCCCGCTCCCCACGCTCGCTGCGCTTGCCAGCTGTGAGCCTGGCTCAGGGCTTCTGACTGAGCAGTGCTCTCCCTGTGGGAGTGCACTGACCACAAGGGGGAAGCTCCTGAGTGGAGCGTCTGCCCCGTTGGTGGTCAGTGCATGTCATAGTGACCGGTCAATTTGTATATTAGCCTTTTATTATATAGGGTTACACCCCTAATTGAATCCTCACAACTATCCAGTGAAACAGAGGTTTTATTATCTTCATTTTGGGGTTTGAGGAAACTGAGGCTCACATCGCTAGCAAATTTAGGATTGGCCATCAACCAGTTTTATGGGATCCTTTCCATTGTTGGAGACCACTGTGGCCAAAAGGGCCCTCGGGGATTATGTATGAGCCCCTTTGTTTTACAGATGATGTAATCGTGTCCTAGGTATGGCCTTGCCCAAGATCTTAAAGGCTGGTCCAGAACCCAGGTCTCCTGATTTCATACTTTTACCTTTAACTAAAGTGAATCCAGGACCTTAAACTGCACCACTAACCCATGCAAGCCCTCAAGAAATCAGCTCAACTCAACCTCCATTGTTGTAACTATTAAGTCCCTGTGTTATTAGCTTGTTTTGCCATTAAGCACATAGTAAGTTCTGGATAGAACATTTATTGAATGACAAAAGGGATAAATAGATCAAGAATACTGCCACACAAGCCCTGAAAATTCTGACTTTATATCTAACTGCTCTGTTTGCTACATGGTTTTAAGTCATATTGACCTAGCAGTAAAAGTGAGTGAAATACCAATCCCTTTAGGTTACTGAATAACCACAGTTTTTAAGTTTTTAGAGCACTTCCATGTACAAGACCTTTTTGGTCTTTTGATACCACCATGCCCAGTCTCCCTATTAAAAAGAGTGGATTTCCAAGGAGTAATTATTCTTCCATTTTCTACCTATCTTGGGCCTGTTAAGACATGAATACATTTTGAAAACTTTCTATTTCCTTCCATTAGGGAAAAGTTTTGGGGATAACTCAAGTACAGATATGGCTTGTTTTATTGTGCTTCACAGATACTGCAGGGGTTTTTGGGTGTTTTTACACATTGAAGGCAAGACCCTTCACCAGCAAAAAGATTACAACCTGCTTTATTGCGGGGGTCTGGAACCGAATCTGTAATATCTCCAAGGTATGCTTGTATAAGTACACTTTTCAGATCAGGAAACGAATAGTAAACAGCTCTTTAAAGTTCATCCAATGAGCCACTGACTACACTTTATTAGGACCTTTAAAAATATCCTATTTCATACTCAATACATAATAATTGTGGAAAATGTTAAAACATAGTAAGAAGTAAAGAACATAGAAAGTGAAAGCCACCAACGATTCTATCCTCCAGGAAAGAAAAGTGCTCTTAAAGCATTTGGTGCATAGGGTCTGTTTTAAGGATCCTTGGTCACTTCCAGGAATCTCTCTGAACCTAGTGGTAATGATAGACTATTTTTGTTACATTATTTCCTAGAGTCCTACTTCTTTGATTAAGTTTGTATGGCAGAACCAGCTATTACTGACCACTTATTAAAAGAAAGGAAGTCATTGTTTATGTTATATGGAATAAGTCAAGAGTAACATGTGTCTCCAGGCTAATTGGCTGTTGTCTTCGGGGAGTACTTAGGACACCAGCTGTTGATCATCCATTTGTCTGGTGAGCCCTGTTCTTGGCAGTCCTTTTGGGACAAGGAAACCTGCTGTGTACTCTCAAGGTCTGTCCCATTTAGCGGCTTGGATTAACAGAGGATAGTGCTGAAGTCTCTAATCCTTCAACACCCAGGTCACTGTCTTTTTGTTGTTGTTGTTGTTAATGTTTTTATTGGTTTTTTAGAGAGAGGAAGGGAGAGGGAGAGAGAAATAGAAACATCAATGAGAGAGAAACATCAGCATCTATTGGCTGCCTCCTGCTTGCTCCCTGCTGGGGATCCAGCCCACAACCCGGGCATGTGACCTGACTGGACCCTAACCTGCGACCTCTTGGTTCATGATTTGATGCTCAACCACTGAGTCACATCAGTGGGGCAGTTTACTGTCTTTATTCATGTGAAAGAAAAGGAGATGGGGGATCAAATGCTTCATTTCAAGAAGACAGGTAACCCCGCGCGGACCATGACTTCCTTTCTTTTAATAAGTGGTCAGTAATAGCTGGTTCTGCCATACAAACTTAATCAAAGAAGTAGGACTCTAGGAAATAATGTAACAAAAATAGTCTATCATTACCACTAGGTTCAGAGAGATTCCTGGAAGTGACCAAGGATCCTTAAAACAGACCCTATGCACCAAATGCTTTAAGAGCACTTTTCTTTCCTGGAGGATAGAATCGTTGGTGGCTTTCACTTTCTATGTTCTTTTTTGGCCCATTTGAAGGGAGAAACTCCCCCTCCTTGCTGTTTGAACACTGGGCTATCCTGACCTCATGCAATATGCTTTTCTTTCAAGGGGGAAAAGCATAATTTCAGTTAATCTTCATTTGCCTGCTAAGAATGCAACCTTCTTTGTACCTTGTGGAGCATTTGCCTGACAAATGGCAAATAGCCAATATTTACACATTCTGCAGGTCTGGAGGGACCTCGAGTGGAGTCCAAGTATTTATGTTAAAATTTTAGTTTAGAAACAATTAGGCAGATGTGAAGCAGAAATCTAATTCTACATTTGGTTTTTAGGGGGCCTTCTTTATTTCAGTTCTGCCTCTTACGCAATACTGTGTGCCTTGGTTTTTATCTCTGGTCTTGTTGAAGGATGCATTTAATATTTCTCTTTATCAGTTTAGCTTTAAAATCATGTTGGTTTTTGTTTAGTTGGCTTTTGAAACACATATTTAGTGCATTAGTCTTTTCTAATTTTTTTTTAATATACGCACATATCATCATCATCATCATCAACTTTGGTGTTGGCTGTATATTAACGTATCATTTATACCTAATAAGAGGCTATATCACACTGGTGTGTTACAGCACCATGGCTGAGAACCACTTTGTATGAGCCAAAAGTCAGTCTAACACATCTTGAACATAACAGTCTTCTGCTAGGATTTATCTCAGTGATTCTCTATTGTTATGTAATAAAGCCCAGTGGCCTGCCCATCTTCAGCCTTGCTTCTCCCATCTCGGCAGGTACATTGCTATCTGCCCACACTTCTCCCTGCCCACACACAGTTCCCCTTCCCTCTGCCTGTCTGTCAAAGTAGGGCAGGAGTCCTACCTCTTCTGCCAGGACCTCTACCGTCCTCCCACACTGAAGTCACACGCTGTTCATGACCAGTGCTGTTCATTTAACAGTCATATACCACCTTACCTGGACAGGTGCTTTCCTGTGACTTCTGAGTTAGACCACCAGGTCAATGACAGCAGAGACCTGGTTTCAGTGAGACCCCACAACACCCCGTGCAGGTATGTAGAGCACCGAGGATGGTGCTGAAAAGGTCCATGGCGAGTCTTCCAGCTCATTTGTTGAGCACCCACTT